CAGGTTTGCTATTAGCCCAACAATCCTTGTTGGAATTCCTCTCAGTCTCAGGATCTCCCAGACTGATTCGCGATGCACCATATCAAACGCCTTCTTGAGGTCGATGTAGGCTGCGAGCAGCCCACGTCCGAACTCACGACGACGCTCTACAATGACTCGAAGCACCAGGATACGGTCTATTGTGGACTTACCAGAAGTGAACTCAGGTTGCTCCGGTCTTTGGTGCCTCAGGAGGTGGTCTCTGATACGTCTCAGTAAGATGTGGGCGAGTACCTTGCCTGGTACACTGAGCAGTGTAATGCCTCGGTGATTGCTGCAGTCCCACTGATCCCCTTTCCCCTTCCAGAGAGGGATGACTACACCCCTCAGCAGGTCAGGGGGAATGGTACCGGTCTGCCAGCTGGCAGATAGGACTGCATGCAAGCCCCTTGCCATACGTTCTCCACCAGCCTTTAACAATTCAGCTGGGATGCCACAGACACCTGCTGCTTTACCACTCTTCAGCTTGGAGATCGCCCCCTTGACTTCAGTCAGGGAGGGTGGATCCTCGCTGATGGGTGGGTCTGGCAGAGGAGTCTCAACATTACCAGCATTCAAGTTAACTGTTGGTGGATCAACCTGATACAGCTGCTCAAAATACTCAGCCCAATGCACACGCACCCCATCAGGATCTGAGATTACCTGGCCACTTGCTGAGCGGACTGCCGTCGTCTGTGAGGAGGGCTGGGAGTTCAGCTTTCTCAGAGCTTGGTAGGCAGGACGAATGTCATTTACTAGGAAATGGCTTTCGACCTCCTCTGCAAGATTACTGATAAACTGTTCCTTATCCCTTCTAAACAGTGACCTAGTCCTGCGCGCCAGAGAACGGTGCAAATTGCGATCCCCTGACAATCGAGCTGCACAACAAGCTTCTGTGGCTTCCAGTGTCTCCTGCGAGATGGAATTCTGTCTTGCTCTTGGGCGTACACCAATGGATTCCTGAGCTGCATCAAGCGTTTCACGCTTGAAGGAATCCCACATAACAACAGGATCTGTCAGGCCCTCGAGTGCTGTGAGACGATCAGAGATAGCCTCAGCAAACCCTGGACACACTCATCCTCCCTCAGTCTGTCCAGATGAAACACCCTGGGGTTCTAAAGTGGACCTGGAGAGTAGCCACAACTAGTCTATGATCAGTTCCACAGAACTCGGCGCTTCGATACACCCTGCAGTTCTGGAGGATCCTCCACCGAGTGCTGACGAGGATGTGGTCGATCTCCTTGGCCACCCTACCCGTATTATTGTACCAAGTCCAGCGATGCAGGTCAAAACGCTGATACCAGGAGCCAGAGATCCTCAATTTCTGGGACCTAGCAAAGTCACGGAAAAGGAGGCTACTCTCGCTGCTAGAATCAGCTCCTGAGCCATGGGGACCGACAGACATCTCGTAGCCAGGTCGATCACATCCGGATACCGCATTGAAGTCACCCAGAACAATACGAATATCTCGCCGAGGACAACTGTCTGCCACAGATGCAAGTCTGGCGTAGAACATCTCTTTCACCTCAAGTTTATATACATCCGTAGGAGTGTACACAGCAATAAGAGACATGAAGCCAAATGACAGCTTCAGTCTCAATACCATTGTACGCTCATCGACTGGAGTGCCCTCTACTACCGAGGGTTGAAATCGGCTGGAGATGGCTATGGCTACTCCCTGGAGATGGTGGCCATCGCTGCGGCCCGACCAGTAGTAAGTGTAGCCACCCACACTAATTGTGCCGCTGCCAGGTCTTCTCACCTCTGAGAGAGCAACCACTTCAACTCTAAGCCGCTTCAATTCCCTCGACAGTAGTGGTAACCGATCATCCTGTTGCAGGGAACGGACGTTCCAAGCCCCCACCCTGACAGCCCGCCTGAGGTCTAACCTCTGGCAGTCACTCCGGGTGGGCGCCACCTCTGCCACCCCCACCGACGCCGCCCCTTATAGAGGTTAGCTGGCTGCAGGCCCCCTAATCCACCTGCAGGGCTCCCGGGGGCTTTCCCCCACAAGCATCACGCCAGGCTGGCGGCCGTGGGACCCAAATGGGATGATGGGTAACCCCTCCTCCCCGCCCGAGTCCCAGCGGTCGCCAACCCAGAGGGACCCACAGCCCGCCGTTCTTGCTGTGTGGGAGGGGCTTTAGCCCTCCCCCCAGCACTAACTTCTATACGATTCGTTGCCAGTAGAGTTGTCTCGGAGGGGCAGACTGGCAAGGCCTGCCCCCCCATATATATATATATATATATATATATATATATATATATATATACTGCCGCGATAGCTCAGTGGTTAGAGCACTGGACTCAGGTTCAATTCCCCGTCGTGGCAGAATGCCTGCGCTCTGACTGCTTGCTCAAGCCCGAGAAAACGACATATTGGCTTGAGAAGTCAAAATACAGGTGTCGTAGGGGAAGTCACCGCCGTGGCACAAGTGTTAAACGCGCTGAACCGCGGTTGATTAGGAAGGGCATTCAATCAGGCAAGGGTGACACCGCCATATAACCTCTCAATACTGAATTGAGAGAGGCCTATGTCCTGCAGTGGAATGAATGGCTGTTGAAAAAAAAAAAAAAATAAATATATATTTATAAATATATATATATATATATATATCTATATATTATGTATATCTATATATTATGTATATCTATATATTATGTATATCTATATATATATATATATATATATATATATATATATATATATTATGTATATCTATATATTTATATATATATATATATATATATATATATATATATATATATATATATATATATATATATATATATATTATGTATATCTATATCTATATCTATATATATATATATATATATATATATATATATATATATATATATATATATATATTTTTATATATATATATATATATATATATATATATATATATATATATATATATACATAAATAAAAACAAATAAATGAATATATATATATATATATATATATATATATATATATATATATAAACAAATAAATGAATATATATATATATATATATATATATATATATATATATATATATATATATAAACAAATAAATGAATATATATATATATATATATATATATATATATATATATATATATGTATATATATATATATATATATATATATATATATATATATATATATATATATATATATATATATATAAACAAATAAATGAATATATATATATATATATATATATATGTATATATATATATATATATATATATATATATATATATATATATATATATATATATATATATATATATATAAACAAATAAATGAATATATATATATATATATATATATATATATATATATATATATATATATATATATATATATATATATATATATATATATATATATATATGCATGTGCATATCCTCCTGTTGCAGCAACTGATCAGCGCCGTCAGGAGAGGAGACGCGCGCACCACCGAGAGCCTCCTGTCCACCGAAGGCCTGAGCCCCGACACTGAGCTCCCCCAAAATGACCCCGATTGCCCCCAGGGGTCGCTCTTGACCTTAGTGTTCATTCGAGGTCATTACCACCTGGTGCCCCTCCTGCTGGGTGCCGGCGCCACCAACTCAGCCGGAAGGAGGCAGTTCACGCCGATGCACTGGGCGGCCAAGAAAGGGGCAATGAAAGAGCTCTTGCAGCTTATAAAAGCCTTCGGTATCAGCGACCAGGATGAATGCAGTGAGTGTGCATCATTGGCAGCAGGGGCTGGTTTGATCCGTGGAATGTGAACGTTGTATAGGCAAGGATATAGGATTGTGTGTGTGTGTGTGAAAGAGAGAGAGAGAGAGAGATTGAGAGATAGGAAGGGAGATAGAGATGGATAGATAGAGAAAGAGAGAGAGGAATATATAAAGAATGTCTATGGAATAAACACTTAGAGTAAATGGAACCCCAACTGACTCTGGCTGAACCGCCTTCCAGAGACCACACCCTTGCATCTTGCAGCCCAGGAAGGCCACGCAGATATAGTCGAGGCTCTCATCAACTACGGCGTCAACATAGACGCCAGAGACAAGAGCGGACGCACGCCCCTCTTCATGGCCGCCCTCAACGGCCACCTGGGCGTGGCGGAGGCGCTCATCCGCCGCGGCGCCAAAGTCACGGCCCTCACCTTCCAGAACCGGACGGCGCTCCATCAGGCCGCTCAGTCCGGCAGTCTGAGCGTGACCCAGATGCTGGTGCGCGCTGGGCTGCCGGTCGCCTGTCAGGATCAAAATGGTCTCACGCCCCTCGACCTGGCTATGATCCACGGGCGGTCGGAGGTGGTCGACTGGCTCAGGAAACAGAACCCGGGCAAAACGACGGAGCTCAGCCACGCGGTAAGTTTGGAGGCGCTGTCGGAGTGAGAGATCTTGTGGAACATTTGGGCATAACTAAGCCAATGAATGGGTCACATTTGGAACGATCTGTTTAACTAGGCCAATAAATGGGTTACTTTCTCTCTTTCTCTCCCTTATTCTTACACATACATACAAGCTTACATTTAATATATATTGGTATGTATGTATATGTATAAATAGGGGAAGAAACACACTTTTGTACAAACTATCAGATTTTCCTGACGCCTTCGTAAAGATTGCATGCGTTGCAGAGAACTTGCATGGTCCACTACAACGAGTGCGGCGCGCTGATCATGGGGTGGGCAGAGGACGACAAGACGGACCACCTGCTCAGCAATCTGGAGAAGGACCTGGTCGGCCTGCATTTCCGCGACCATAACGGCCGGACGCCCCTTCACGTGGCTGCCGAATGTGACAACGAGGAAGCCGTCCGGGTCCTCCTCTCCTGCGGGATGTTTCCGGGCGTCCTGGACTACGAGGGCAAGATGCCGCACGACTTGGCTCGATCGGACAGACTCCGCGAACTCCTGGCCTCAGCCTTGAACTCTGAGGTGACCGCATTGACGCGCTGACGCTGGGTTGTCTCGTGCCCTTTCATGGCGTACTGATCCTTGTTTCATGGGTATTTTTTTCCTTTTTTATCGATGTTCTTATTCACAGATGTGCATGTGGCTCTCGCTGACCGGAATAAATTCAAACGAAAAATACGAATGCTCTCCTCCTCCATACCTCTAAAAGACACAGAGGACTTTTAATGAAACCGCATGCCAATTTCCAGGACGGCCGAGTTTCAACCTACGAAGAGAAATGCCAGCTCTACAAAGAACTCATAAACCACATCTCTACAAACAACGACGCCAAGGAAGTCACGAAGATGTTGCTCCGCGGGGCGCCCATAGAGCCCGTGGGCGAGGTCCCCTACCACGCCCTCCACCTGGCCATCTCGCTCGACAGGACGAACATCGTCAGCCTCCTCTTGGCAGCGGGGGCGAGCCTCACTGCTCCTCGTGAGGGCACCTCGCCCTTGCAGGTCGTCTGGAGGAGCAGCGACGCCATGGTCCTCCTGAAGGTCGTGGTTACAAGGGTGAGGACATACTGCAGAAGGAATATGTATTGCTGTACACACACACACACGCGCGCACGCGTACGCATCAGCCTGTATTTCTCTCTCTCTCTCTCTCTCTCTCTCTCTCTCTCTCTCTCTCTCTCTCTCTCTCTCTCTCTCTCTATATATATATATATATATATATATATATATATATATATATGCACACGCACACATACACACACACATATATATAAATGTCTATGGTTCTCAATCATACGCGTCATACGGATTCTTGTGTATATATGATATGATAACTAATATACGAGAATACAGCATAAAGTCCTATCAATACCACTCTCTCTCTCATGCGATTCATGACCTGCTCTTTCCAGGCCTACCAGACCCAGCTGAAGTTCGAACTACGCCTTCTCCAGAACTCCCCGGAACCTGACGAAGGCGTAGGTCTTCTCCGCCAGGGCATCAACCACATACTGAACACCCTTACCCTGTGCAAGCCGTGGCAAGCCAGTTGGAAAATCTCCCACGCCCCCTCGACCCCTTCCCTGGCTGACCTCATGACCTCCGCTGCAAGGCATAACTGTGTCCTGACGATGACCTTCTTGCAGACTGAAGGGGCGCTGGCCTTCCAGTGTGACAGCCGAGGATTGACGCCGTTGCACGTTGCACTGCAGGCAGGACACTTGAAGTTGGCCACCACGCTCGTGAAGCACCTCGGGGGCTCTCCTTACGTGCGAGACCTCGAGTACATGAAAGAGGTGATGCAGCCGCGCGCGATGCGGGAACTCGAACAGGTGGGTTGTAACTCCGTAGACTTTTCCATCGACGGCCTCTAAAGCAACGTATCTTAGCTTTCTTAGAATCACGGACCACTTCCAGAATCTGATGAAAGCTATGGACCCCCTTTCCTAGAAATATTAACATAAACACAACTTTGAGAGAGAGAGAGGAGGAGAGATAGAGATAGAGAGAGAGAGAGGGAGGATGAGAGAGAGAGGGAGGATGAGAGAGAGAGAGGGAGGATGAGAGAGAGAGAGGGAGGATGAGAGAGAGAGAGGGAGGATGAGAGAGAGAGAGAGAGAGAGAGAGAGAGAGAGAGAGAGAGAGAGAGAGAGAGAGAGAGAGAGAGAGAGAGAGAGAGGAGAGATAGAGAGGATGAGAGAGAGAGAGGATGAGAGAGAGAGAGGATGAGAGAGAGAGAGGAAAAGAGAGAGAGGATGTGAGAGGGAGAGAGAAGAGGAGAGAGAGGAGGAGGAGGAGGAGGAGAGGAGAGAGAGAGAGAGAGAGAGAGAGAGAGAGAGAGAGAGAGAGAGAGAGAGAGAGAGAGAGAGAGAGAGAGAGAGAGAGAGAGAGTGAGGGAAGGAGGGAGAGAGAAAGAGAAAGAGAAAGAGAGAGAGAGAGAGAGGATAGGATAGAGAGGGAGAGTGAGAAAGGGAGAAAGAGAGAGAGAGAGAGAGAGAGAGAGAGAGAGAGAGAGAGAGAGAGAGAGAGAGTGAGGGAAGGAGGGAGAGAGAAAGAGAAAGAGAAAGAGAGAGAGAGAGAGAGGATAGGATAGAGAGGGAGAGTGAGAAAGGGAGAAAGAGAGAGGGGGGAGAAAGAAAGAAAGAGAGAGAGAGAGAGAGAGAGAGAGAGAGAGAGAGAGAGAGAGAGAGAGAGAGAGAGAGAGAGAGAGAGAGAGAATATGATATTGTCTTCGTATCCGGTCTAACCCAAAACTTACTTTTCTTCTACCAAAGTCCGTAAACAGCAAACAGCTACAAAAATGGTGGATCAGGAACTTCCTCGTGTTTAGACGTGATTTCTCTAACTTTTCTAACTGCCTGACCAAAAGAGGAATACAGATGCTATGTGTGTTTCTGCAGCATTATGTCGTTACTCTCGTGTAGTTCATATATACTTTATTGTGTAACTTTAGAGGGAGTCGGTATAATGTTATTTTCTTATTTCAGTGTCTGTTTTACCAGGAGGTCCGCAAACTACAGGCTTGCCTCGAGAAGATGAAAGACAATAGAGACAAGATTCAGGTGGAGGAAAT